ATTTCAGAATCCTTCTGCTCACTTTACATGTCACACAATGCAAAGTAGAGTAAGGTGGGGATTAAGATGGGGGAGAAGCACCTTGGATTTGGTTATCCCAGGTCAGTGTTGATGTTGCAAGCTTGTTGTTTGAGGGGAATGAGGACTGAAACTGGGCTTCAGAGAGATACGGAGAATTACATGTATGGTGGACACACAGGATAAGTCTGAAACCCCTTGTCCAAAAGGTTTATTGAGGCTTATTTTGAAAGGACAAAAGCCTGGAAAAGAGCAAAGAGCTGAATGATAGTGATTATTATTATTAATTTCTAATATAGAGAAGAAATATATACACCATGAAAAATACAAGTAACTGGCAAGAAGTAGATATTTAAGAAATATCAGAAATCAAAGATTTAAAGGCATGTAGCATATTCAATGTGGTTAAAAAACAGCTTTTTTTTTTTTTTTTTTGCTTTTCGAAAAACAGCATCTCTTTCGAGAAGTCTGGGGAAAGAGAATGTATATGGAATAATATTTTGAGGTAGACAAGAAGGACAGTAAGCCATTTCTGATGGCCTCAATGTTCGCAGGTGAATATATGCAGCCAGGGGTCTTTAAAAAGTGAGGAAAATTTATACAGATATAGGCAGTGTTTTAGTAGATATAGTTTAAGGCCTATTGTGTTTCAGTTATGATTAATTCAATAGACAAGATTTGCTATTGATATCTTTAAATAATGATTAAATCTTAATTTGATATTTAACATATTCTTCCTGAATTTATTTGAACATTTTCGGTGATTATTATTTCATTATTTTGTTTTACTGTTCTTTTTTCTAATTTTTTCAATTTTGATTGAGTTACAAAAAATGATGCCATAGAATTTTTCTTTGAGATATGTTAAAAAATAGATTTTTAGGATAAAAATCATATTTGGATTAAAATGTTTCAAGCCATCAATTTGTCAAGATTTTTTCCACTTTTTGAAAATTCTCTCCACAGATGGATGATGGATGATAGATTTAATTTTGAAACATTAAAAGTAAATTATCGTGTTAAAGTTAAATGCATAATTAAATTATCAATAATAACTTTAAAAAATAAGGTAGCTTTAAATAGACATTTAGGGAAAGTGAATTTTGTCAGCTGTCAACACCTGGAATAACCTGTTATGCAAAGCTGAGTTTATTACCTATTTTAGTCAGGGAGGGCAACATTTTGACTGTCTTAGAACGTCCAGAAGGAAGGATTGGTAGGGTGGGGTGGGCTGGGAGTTATGTATAGGGCTGGAAATCTAGAAGTGAATTGTTAAGACAGCTCTTCCAATGTGAGGGTCTGGTTGAAGAGGTGTGCATTTCATGATGTAACGGCCTAGGTAGGTTGATACTAAGAGACAAACACCTTGAAGTGAATCTTAAGTAAACAGTTACCAATAAGAATTATGGTTGTTGTTCAGTCACTAAGTCGTGTCCGACTCTGTGGCCCCATGGACTGCAACAGGCCAGGCCCCTTTATCTCTCACCATCTCCCAGAGTTTGCCCAAGTTCTTGTCCATTGAATCTGTGATGCCATCCAACCATCTCATCCTCTGTTGCTCTCTTCTCTTTCTGCCTTCAATCTTTCCCGGTATCAGTGTCTGAATTAACAGTTGATAATTTGCTCAGATTTGGGAGTTTATGGCTCAGATAAATTACTTTTAAGGAAGTTTCTGAAACAAAATTAACTTTTATATTAATTTGCAGCCTTATCGTCATGGGCAAAAACTTGCAAGCACTAAAAGTAAAATCTTATGGATGGAGATCCTGACAGTCTGGGTGAATGCAGAGGCCTCAGTTCTCAATTTCAATGGCAATTTGAGAACTGAACTATAATATGAACTGCATTATACCTGCTTTGTGTGGACTAGGTATAAAATAAAAGCTTGCCTTTACCTGAAAGAACTTAAACTTAGGATATGGTACTGGTTTTTCCTTTTGCTACAAATTATAGAAAAAGGAATTAGACAGAATGACAAGAATTTGAGGGTGGGTCACACTAAGAACTCATTCATATAGCTCAGGATGAAGAAACTAGACAGTGATTCTATCTTGTCACATCTTTTCATTTAAAAAAAAAAATCCTGACTGAATTGAATGTGTGTTCAGGATAATTGACTCTTAACTTTCAATGAGCTGAAAAGGAAGAAAGATTATTTAATCAAAGTATTGTATAGACATGTCTAATACAGTGTTTTAAGAATTTTTCAAGTACACCCACCTTGATCTTCTTGTGTTAAGCACTTTACTCATTGATCGGATTCACTCATATTTCATTACTTAATAGTAAAGAAAACATGAGGTGACAGTTGTAAAATATATTTCCAGAAAGTAATTTGTTAATACAATAATAGGAGTTTCAAAACTGGGACATTCCACTAGTGATTATAAATCAAATAGTTAAGTAGCATAAATATGACACCCAGAAGATCAGACTTTAAAGACTGAAAAAAATTAAAGAGAAGTAATAAAGGCAAATGTTAGATGCTTTTACAATAATTCATGCAGAAATCTGTATCAAAGGTTAACCTAGAGAGTTACAGTTGAATTTTTAAAAAAGAAAGGTTTCTCCCACTAATGCAACACTGAAATTCCAATAGTAAAATTTGCAGGAGTGCAGATTCAAAGGCTTTTATAAACACAAATCTCTACAGATGTTTTTCAAGTCTAAATAATTATCCAATGAAATTTACTTTAAAAATATTAAGTGTAGTCTTTATCTTCTCAAACAAGCTCCATTTACTTCTACTCTGATTCTAGGGGAAATATTATAAAAATGAATGTTCTTCCCCCACCCCAATATAATCCATCACCTGCTGAGGGTTTCCTCTTACTATGAAAGACAATAATGACATATGTTACTTTGTCTCTTCCATTGAAGAAGAATCACTGTTCATGCTCTCTGGACTTTTATTTCTCCATAAGTCCACAGACCTCATCCCTATTTAGAGTTCTGCGCTGTGCTGATTTCCTACATTTTTCTGTTTCCTACATTAATCTACAAGGTACAGTGAAAGGGGGAAACCCTCTTTCTTTTAATTTATTGTGAAAATATTTTAAGGATATTTGTTAAGGAATTCTATTTATGCTTACCTATGATGGTATATTCATAATTCACTGGAAGCAATGATTCAGAATTGAGAATATGAAGAGAAATAACAGAGATGTTTGTTGAGGTTGGACTATTGATTCAAGCAAGCATTAATTGAGAGCTACAAGACAGGAGACCAGAGTTGGCTGGCAAGACCAAATAAGTAGCACAGTGACCAGTGTTGCTGTTGAGCCTGTGATCATAACCATGAGATACAAAGGAAAAGGAAGAGAGGGAAAGAATATAAATGTAAATAAATATTTATGTGTGTAAAACCTGTTATTTGTTTTACATCACTAGAAAGGTCAGCAAGTAAAATTCATAATGAAAAGGACCTAAAATTTTTGTAGGTGATGAAATTCAGGTGATAGAAGACCTTATTTTAAAGATCTCATAGATTTATCTTTCAGTACATCTAAGTACAATTCAGATGGTAACGTGGAAATCATTGTCTCTTCTTCTTGATTAAAACACTTTGTCTTTTTCTGTGGCCCATGTCTTTCCATGTCTTTCCCTTTCTGTGTCTTTCCAACATGTCCCTGTCCCCATTTGATTGAAGTCAAGAAGAATCATTGACCTCTGTGTCATCCTTGACGCTAGTAGGAGAGTCATATTGGGCTCTTGATCTTCTGAATGAAATGCTGAAGAAAAACAAACTTTATTTTTGCTAGTATTAATCGCTTCTCATCATAACTTCTAGGTGTTACTATTTATAATATTGAAATAACTAGAGAACAGTCAGAAAACCTTGCTCTGCCAAAATGTCAGGCATTTGCACATAATCTTGACAATCCAACATGTAGTATTTATTTACCACCAATACGTGGATGATGACCATTGGGTTATATAAGTTATATCTACCTTATATAACTTCACTTACTGTGAATCGTAGGTCCAGTCCCTCTCAATATTGCCTTTTTTTCCAATGTGCATAGGGTTAGGGAAGTGTAATACCATGGAGCAGGTTAGAACTGGGTAAAACTGAAAAGGAGGTTATGCTTATACAGAAAAAAAGACATTCAAGACTACTTTTATTTGGGTATCTTTCCTTTTATCTAATTACATATATATTTATATATTATATATATTATTATATCTTTTATTTGGATATAGATATCTTTCTTTTCTTAACTTCCAAGTACTCTTTCTGGCAATTTTTCTCAAGTTGATATTTTCAGGTGTAGAGTTCTTAAAATGATTTAATTTCCTGCTTAATATGGCTGAATTAAACTCAAAAATATATAAAATTAGCAGTTCTCCAAACTAAGTGCAGTTATCTGAATTGAGGACATCATTCTCATTAAAGTTGACAAAGTGGATACAATGGTTGGCATTGTACCAGTCTCAGAGATTTTGACCTTTGATCAGACAATCCAGGCAAAATATCAGAAACCCAAGGGAAAAAGAGGTTGAATAGAAATTGAGTGGTGGCAGTACTGGATACATGAAAAAGTTTGCATGAATGTGGTTCATAATGACAGTCTCAGAAATGTGTCTAGTTATGTTTCAGGAGCAGCCTTGTTAAAAGTTTAACTACATCACTAATCAGTAACAGCTTCAGAAATGGGAGGTGCTTCTTTTTGTCTCTTCTTTCTATGCTCAGAATGGGCAGCAGGTTGCCCACATTTTAATTATTTTTCATTTGTTGAACCAAGAATCTCAGTGACCCTCTCTCTAACCCTGTTTTCTTTGCACAATAGGCCATAGGCTAGACAGGCTTCCTGATCACTGAAGAGGGTTAATATGAGCCAAGTGTAGAGATCTGCTCAGGTTATTAAAGGCTAACAGTCATTGTTCCAATGAGCCTGTTTATTATGCACATTATCTCCTCTATAGCCATTATATTACCTAGTCAATGTGTTTGTCAATTGTTCATATCTTTGTTGTTGCAGATACAGATGTGGTGTATAAAAGCGAGAATGGACATGTCATTAAACTGAATATAGAAACAAATACTACCACATTATTATTGGAAAACACTACTTTTGTAAGTAATGGACAATTAATTACTTTAATCATTTCAGTGTTGTTTCGAATGCCCTCAGAATATACATAATGGTCTTTTGTTTTAGCTTCAGTACTTGCAAAACTTTTCAGGTGACAAGTTAGGGCTAGTATATTATGTAGAATCATTAGATCTATTGATCGGAAACACCCATGTGACTATCTGCTTTGTTTCCTCACCATTGATCCTTTCTAGTAAATGAATAAATATTTCTAAGAATATTATTTTTTGAATGAATATTTATTCCAGTGTTTTCTATGTCAGTTTAAACAGAAAAAGGCCAATTTTTTTAAAAAAGTTAATATAACCAAGATCATCATAACTTTTTCTCTCCCTTTACTTATTCTTCCTGACTTGCTTTTGTGATTTTCCAAATCAAGTAGAAGATAGGCTTTGTAAAACTGGTCTTTTGTTGAGGTTGATGTGTTTTACCTCTATAATTTTGCATTCTGTCAATATCATTCCTCTTCTCCTGAATCATTGTTTGGCCTAGCAATTACCAAATAACTAAATGTATTTTGTTCTTATAAATGTATATGAACTTTGAGGTAAATTAAGACCTCTCATGTTTAGATTTGCATGGAAACCCACCCTAGTATTCTTACCTGAAGAATCCCCATGGACAGAGGAGTCTGGTAGGCTATAGTCCACGGGGTTGCAAAGAGTCGGACATAACATGACTGAGTGACTAAGCACACAGTCTTAAGGTTAGATTTAGCTGTGATTACCTAATGAGTAAGTGATAGTTAATTAACAGTTTCAAATGTTCAAAATCTAGCTATCAAGCACCACTAAAAAATAGTATACAGTTATTTGCTTACTGTTTTAGATAACCAAAAGTTCAATGTATTTCCTATTAGATGTGTTAATATGGTATAGCCATAGTACAAGGCCTCAGAAGACCTTCTGTACAAGTTAAAGGAATAAGCAAATTATCACATACTTTTTGTATTTATTCCTACTGGTACATTTGCAATAAACATTTGTTCTTCATGTTTATAACAGAGTGGCCAGGTGGAAGAGATGAACTAAAAATTTTGTTGTCTGGTGTTTTTATTTAATAAGAGAAAAGTGGTTGTTGAAATCATGAAGTGATTACATATGTATAATATCTGTTAGACTAAATTAAGCCAAACAGCTCATGTACTTTAGCAATTAGGTTACTAACTAAATAACAACAGCATTTCTTTTTTTAAATGAATCAGTTATTTCACAGACATTAGAAGAACAGGTACTCTGAATGCAATGTGTAATAGTATTAATACTTGTGGAATACCAAGGAAATATGAAGCATACTGCTTACTTTCTAAAACATAGATTTCCTTGAGGAAGATAATGCTAACCTTCCTGAAAAAGCTTAATAAACCACATAGAACAGTATCTATTATTTATTTTTCCATTTTTGATTAAGTAATATATTTATTTATTATTTTTGGCTGTGCTGGGTCCTTGTTGCTGCTCACAGTCTTTCCCTAGTTGCAGCGAGCAGAGGCTACTCTCTGTTTTAGGGCATGAGCTGCTCATTGTGGCGGCTTCTCTTCTACCAGATCATGGGCTCCAGGGCTCAGGGCTTTAGTAGCAGCAGCACTCAGGCTCCAGCACCTGGCCTTAGTGGTTGTGGTTGATACTTGAACTTAGTTTCTCTGTGGCCTGTGGGATCTTCCCAAATGTGGGCTCAAATCCATGTCCCCTGCATTAGCAGGTGGATTCTTAACCACTGGACCACCAGGGAAGTCTCTATTATTTCTTATTTGGGTGGTCCTCTGGGATATTAGAGAAGAGGCTAGGGAATCACTGAGAGATGTTTTAATCAATGGGAAAGAAGGCATCCGTAGGAGATAGGTCAGGCAGTAGAAAGCAGAAATTGGTCATGATGGCTGCTAATGATTTGCTGATTAAAGTCAATGCAAGTTAATTTCAATAAGACTAGTTTGGGAAACAAACTTAAATGCATTTTGTATTTTGTTTCCTTTATTATAAAGTAATATTTTTGAGGCAGATGGGTATAGGCCTTTAGTGGTCAAGCATTTAAGTTAAGAATAGACTCTTAATACCTGAATATCTGGTGTGTGACTGTCCCATATTGGTCATCCCCGTACACAGGTTAATGAGGTCTTCTAGGTAGAAAGGTAGGTAGTTTAGTCATTTCACGTCCGACTCTTGCAACTCCGAAGACTGTAGCCGAGCAGGCTCCTCTGTCCATGGGATTTCCCAGGCAAGAATACTGACGTGGGTTGCCATTTCCTTCTCCAAACAAGGTCTTCTACTGGTTGCTAATTATCTTTTTTCCCCCCAGCATTTATTCCTTGCTTTATTAGTCTCTTTGGTTCTTCAAAAAAGAAACAAAACAAACATTTTTGGTTATTGTTCCCTTTTGCTGTTGGTACTTCATACCAATCCCATCTCATTGTGGTTTTCTCCATGTGCTGATTAATAACATTTTATCTTTATGCTTGTATGTTTAATCTTTTAAAAATCCTTTTGAGGTCTTTTTCTACTCTTCTCTATGTTGGTTATGACTTTTAATTACCACTAAGTAATATTTAACAAATATCCGAATTTACTGATCTTCTAAGATTCACAGGATCCCTAAAGACATTTATCTCACAGCACAGATAATTAAGCAATTTATAAATCCTGGAGGTGTCAGAATTCTACAGAGGGTGAGGATAAAGATTGGAATGTGGTTTACATTTGCAACTAGTTAACTTAGATCTGCAAACAATAAGTACAAATTACCAAGATTCCAGATAAATTCAAAGGTACTTATTTAATCATTTCCTCCTCCTAACTCCAAGATAGCATTATTAAAAACACTTGTGTTTTAAAGTGCATACCAGGCTAAGTTCTAGATACATTTTCTCTCTCAGGCTATTCTCTTGGGAAAAAAATCTATCAAAGTATAAAAATTTTATTTGTACTGCAGTTTCTTATTTTTTCATTGAGTGATTAGTGATACTTTAATTATAATTAATTGGATTAGATCTCTATAAAAAATCTTTGTAATAAAAGTGTACCAAAGCAATTGAAAAAAAATTACTTAAAACTGTGAAAGCAGAATAGCCTTTTGTTTAATAAGATATATTTTTCAAAAATGTGACTGTCAGTTATTTTAAAAATTAAGATAACACCATATTGTCGGTTCCCTTATGTATATTTTAAACATGAATATGATTATCTGTGTAATCATATAGAGCAGACACTATGATTAACAATAATATTGACCATGACTGTCAAAATAAAACAAAAGCAAATAATTTTCGTGAAATAATTGTCTTAAGGCCTTCTTTTGTTTTGAAGATAGGTGGATTTGTAATGAAAGAAGAAATTAAAGGGTATATAGCTTTTTGAAAAGGAGTTATGTGAAAGAAGTGATTTAGTCCCCAAACTGCTCTTAATCATTTCTAAGTGTTTGGAAATGTTATCTCATAAACCCAGAACTATTTCAAACAATGCTAATTTACAGTGTCATAATTATGAAAATGTTTCATACTTATGAAAGCTGTATTCTTTCTATTGTTAATAATGTGAATATTGCCAGTGGTCTTGGCAGAAAACACCAGTATTCATAAATAGTCCTATCAAGTTTTTGTTTGACATTAGAAAGGAATTGGAAACATGATTCCAAACCATATGCTTAAACATTATTAAGATTTCTTTTTTTAAAGAGAGAGCTTATATACTAATATTAGAAGAGACACGGAATATCTGTAAGATAGCTATAAGCTTTTAAAAATATGCTATTAAAATAGCCTAAAGCAGAGAGGGGACATGTATTTTAATGATTCCAAGGAATGTTACCTGCACATGTTTTGGTCCAACCTCAGCCTGCAGCAGCTTGAAGCAGGATTTGCTTTCCTGGCCAGAGATTGAAGTCTGACTGTGGCAGTGAGCATCCTGAATCCTAGCCACTAGACTACCAGGGACAGTGATCATTGAGAAGGCCCAGGCCCACTGCTGTGTAGAACTGAATTTTCACATAGAGATGGAAAGCAGTAAAACAAGTAAAGTGTGTATTAGAGGAAAAGAGTATATATGGATAGACACAGGTGGAGGCTCAGAGAGAGTCACACCCTTGTGGTAGTTTGAATCACTTCAGTTCAGTTCAGTTCAGTCACTCAGTCATGTCTGCTCTTTGCTACCCCATGGAAAACAGCAAGCCAGGCTTCTGGAGCTTATTCAAACTCATGTCCATCGCATCAGTGATGCCATCCAACCATCTCATCCTCTGTCGTCCCCTTCTCCTCCCACTTTCAACCTTTCCCAACATTTGCATCTTCTCAAATGAGTCAGTTCTTTGCAACAGGTGGCCAAAGTATTGGAGTTTCAGCTTCAACATCAGTCCTTCCAATGAATACCCAGGACTGATCTCATTTAGGATGGACTGGTTGTATCTCCTTGCAGTCCAAGGGACTCTCATGAGTCTTCTCCAACACCACAGTTCAAAATCATCAATTCTTTGGTACTCAGCTTTCTTTATAGTCCAACTCTCACATCCATACATGACTACTGGAAAAATCATAGCTTTGACTAGACAGATCTTTGTTGGCAAAGTAATGTCTCTGCTTTTTAATATGCTGTCTTGGTTTGTCATAGCTTTTCTTCTAAGGAGCAAGCATCTTTTAATTTCAAGGCTGCAGTTACTATCCACAGTGATTTTGGAACCCCAAAAAATAAAGTCTGTCTCTTTTTCCATTGTTTCCTCATCTATTTGCCCTGAAGTGATTGGACTGGATGTCATGATCTTAGTTTTGTGAATGTTGAGTTTTAAGTCAACTTCCTCACTCTCCTCTTTCACTTTCATCAAGAGGCTCTTTAGTTCTTCTTTCTTTCTGCCATAAGGGTGGTGTCATCTGCATATCTGAGGTCATTGATATTTCTCCCAGTAATCTTGATTCCAGCTTGTGCTTCATCCAGCCCAGCATTTCTCATGATGTACTCTGCTTATAAATTAAATAAGCAGGGAGACAACACACAGCCAT